TATATATATAAATTTAAAAGAAAAATAAATAAAATCATATGTGAGACAATCGCAAAGAGTGCATTCTAAGTTATTCATGAAGTGCATAATGTATCATTTTATCCTTCTTTATTATTCGATGAACAACAAAGATATGTATCATTCTTGTTTAACATTTTATGAGTATAGCATAGAAAAATTGTGGATAAAAATTGACCAACTTTAACTAACGATAACTTTGCAAAAAATTATCGAAGAATAATTGTTTTTTAAATTAATGTTTGAAGTCTTTAAAACGATATGGCCAGATTTTAAGTTTGATGCACTCGTGCTACTATTAAATCTTAAAATATGAGAGTGTTTTTCATATTGAAAATTGCAAAGTTTGATGAAATACACGGACTTTGTAAAATTTTTTTAAAATATTATTTGCAACAGAAAAAAGTTCGAACTTTCACGTTTAATTTAAAAAAAACCAAGTTGTGATTTTTTTTCGCAAATTTTAGTATTTCAAAGTTACCTTCGCATTTTTTACATACTACCGATATTACCTGCATTACCGGATATGCACCACGACGAGGTTGACTAGATGGATTTTGCACATCGTGTTTTTGCATGTAAATTTCAGTAACGCGTATTGCCTCCGACAGGTTGTCTTGCCAAATTTCTTAATCGATCCATTATCTAGTACAAAATGTAAATCCATCCAGCAACTTTGTGTGGTGCATATATCGGTAATGCAGGTAATGTCGATAGTATATGTAAAAAATGCGAGGGTAACTTTGCAAAAAAAAAAAATCGTAACTCTTTTGTTTTTATTATAGGAGTTATATAATTAAATGAGGAGCTCGAATTTTACGCCACTGCAAATGGTATTTCTCCAAAAAATTTTACAAAGTCCGTGTATTCCGTCAACTTTGCAATTTTCAATATCACAAACACAAACACACACACACACACACACACACACACACACACACATAGAGAGTGTCCCGCAATTTTTTGTCAAACGCTTTTGTGTAGATAGAGAGATACTAAACTGATTATGAGTCGAAAAGTCTTATACTATTTTGCAATTTTCGCAATGGTTAACGAAATATTAATTAAGAAAATACGGTATTAAAAATTTCTAAAAAAATTCTCAGAGCTCTATGAAAACAAAATAAACAATGTTTGTCTCTCGCTGTTTTTTTTTGTAAAGTTGATAGTATTTAAATAAAAAATTATTGAAGATCAATATTTTTTAATAATTAATATCTCGTTAAATATTGCGAAAATTGCAAAATAGTAGAGAATCTTTCGACTCAGTTTAGTCCGCTCTTCCTGCGACATCACCCATTCTAAACGGGTAGAGCCTGCTCGTAATTTAAGACTACCCTGTATATATATATATATA